GGATCCTTTGGAACCTGGCGAAGAAGGACGTGATATCACATCCACACTCCAAGTGGAGATCTGGCCTCTGTGGGTTCTGACTCTCAGACGTGTCATGCCCACACTCCAGGCCTTCCCCCACATCTCACAGTGTCACAAGATTCTAAGTTAAGTGACCAAGGGAGGGAATCCCAGGACACAAGACTTCCAGTGCTAACACCAGGAAAGTCCCAGGCAAACCAGGATGAGACGGTCACTCTGATTCCAAGAGAAATGGATACCAAACCCCACAAACCAAGAATGCAAAAAACATTAGGCTTCAGAGCCGCAGGAAACATGCTGCTTAGCACACAGTGCGGAACTCCGTGGTTTCACATACAAGAACCTTACATGCGGCTCAGCGTGGCCAGGTGGCCCTTCAAAGCTCTCAACCCTCCAAGGAAGGGCAGGAGCAGGTTGCAAAGCACTTCTCACAGAGCCTCTGTCAAGGGGTCAGTGTCAGTGTTAATCTCCCTCCATGGTTTCTTCCTGCTCTTTCTGAGGCTCAGCATGTGTGTCCCAGCATGGCCTGGCGACCGCCCAGCTCAGGTTTCCCCTCACAGAAGCAGATGTCTGCAGGAGGGCTGGCAGCCCTGCTACAGCTCCTTTAGAACAGCTGTGACAAGAAACCGTGTCACAGTGTAAAGGCTTCTTCTTTAAAGAAATCCAAAGACACCACTTGACAAAGAATTAAAGAACTTTGTGCATAAAACTATAGTGACATCCTTTGCCTTCAATGCTACCCTGCATATTAGTTTGAGAGCCTATGTCTGGAGCTTAGAGTACATTTCTCTGCCCCTTTTGAGGCTGGTGTATGTGGAGTTCACTGAATTATCTCCAGAAGAAATGCTGAATCACCACAAAACTGTGTGAGCTTAGAAGAAGCCATATCCAGGTTAATCTCCTGCCACTCAACTCAGCAATATCTCAGTTTCCCATTCGGGGAATCTGTTTCTGTCTCCCAAGATCAAAAGGCCCTGTTTTCAAATTCTCTACAAGGGTGTGTGAGTGTGTTGGGATGGGAGACAGGGGAAAATCCTCCTAAGGCTTCCAATAATTACTAGACAAGTCTCATTAAAAAAGAGCAAAAGAGAGGAAAGGAGAGGAGAGGAAGTTAGTTTGTGGTTTGATATCAATATCTGAAAGGCGTATAACCAAAAAATGCATCAAAGAAAACTGGAGTTTTGTCATCAGTGCCTCTATCACTGGAGAAACTTCTGCAAGACCAAGATGCTGGAGGCTGCAGGCCTTCAGGACGAATCTGTAAGCCAAAGATCCAGGAGACCCTAAGACTATAGGGAACTTTCTGCTTACCATATTATTTGACCATTTTAGAAACAAGTAGCTATCTACAGGGGGAAAATGACTATATAGGCTGCTAAGAAACTTCATTGATAATATTCCACTCATTGCAATGAACCCTCTTATTGTGTAAAGTGGCAACCTCAGCTGAGAACCATTCCCCAGGGCACCAAATGTCATGAGCATCACCCCTCCAGACGCACTGTCCACCCTCCTCAGCCTGCTCTGTGCCAAGGGAGGCTCAACCCTGCTCCCTGCATCTCCCAGCTCCCCTCCCCTCTGCCTTCTGCTTGGATTCAGAAAAGGGGAGGCACTTGCAAGAGATAGACAGGAAATGTGAGGGTGGGAGGTGGAGGCAGAGTGAGGTTAGAGGTCCCCGCCTGCATGACCAAGGGTTGGCAGTGGGTCTCTACCTCTGGCAAAGGCCACAGCCCCCACAGTGCAGTGTTCTGCAAAATCTACAGCATCTGTCAGGTTTGGGATAGCTCTTCCCTCCCTCTGCCCCTTCCAGCCTAGGATAGCTAGCCTATCCTAGGGCTGTTGCTAGCCCTGGTGTACTTTGCCATCCTTTGTTGCTTTCCTTTAAACTTACCTACACCCTCATAAACAGCCTCTTTGGTAAACTCTCCTGAACAACCATCCTTTGAGCATGGCTTCTGTTTTCTGTTGGGACTGTGACAGATGCCCTCAGCATATGAAGGGTGATGCTCATGTGCATGAGAAAATGCAGCGAAGTGCAACGGCCAATGATGGGCAAGGCAGAGACAACAGAAGTAAGCTGCGACTGCCTCCTCCCCTTTCCTGCTTTCTCCTTCCAGCCAAGGAATGTGTACATTACAGAGCTTGGTAAGATATAAGGGATATAGGGAATCCTTCTACCATTTTATCACAGGATCTCAAGTTTCTGGCCCTTTTGGCTTCTCAGTGGAATGAACCAGAGGGGGCTTCTTCATATATTTCAGAATACAGTTAAAAGGTTCTTATATAAATCATCATTTCACTGACCCTGAAAAAGCAGATTAACCCTCTCTCTTTCCAACAGAGGAGAGCATCTAGGTTTCTCTTGCTATCTTATGCAGAACTTAGTGGGGCAGCCAGAAAAACTGAGAAGGCTGGAACCATCTGGGAAAAATTAAGCCTTTCAGAGCGTGGGAAGAGTCAGAGATCCACATGGGAAATCATAGCCAGAGGATGGTTGTTTTAAGACAGGAGATGTCGGTCTAAGAAGTAGGGCTAAAACAAAACATCAGCCAAAGGGGAAAGGACAAGGAAGGCATGGGGCAGACCCCTGAGAACATGAGAGCAAGTGTCTATCTAGGCAGGCACAGAGCAGGTGGGATCAGTGTAGGCACATGGGCAGTAGCTGGGAGGATCAGCAGCAAATGTAACTTTTCCCACAGAAAACCCAGCACCCTGAAAACAGGAGAAAAATGACTAAAGCTCATCCTAGTAGAGTCACGAAGATGAACCCAGAGATGGCAGGGGGCTCCTCATCAACTCCCCAGTCAAGGGCCACATTGATCCTCATCCTTGAACAAGGAAAGCCAAGAGCTGGGTGTAATGAGCCCAACTGCCAGAACTAGAGGAGTAGAAATAAACATTGTGTCTAAATTGATGTGTCATGGATAAAGGCGCTGATATTGGCATTGAAAGGTTTTCTTCTAACCTGTCTGGAAAAAAGGCTATCAGATGAAAGAGCTTTTTAGGCAGTCTTCACAAAAAGGAACAGTACTGTCATCTTGCTTTCAGAATTTGCCTATTCAAATCTGCATGAAGTCCAGCACTTCCCCAAATGTGATATATCAAAGAGCAAAGAAAAGGAAGGAATTTTAAAAATTAAACCAGGTTAGAAATTTGACCAGGTATTTTCTATGCTATATACATGTGAGAAAGCAAAGTTTTAAGTTCATATTTTCTTCCTTATTTCAAATAGCTTTTTCCTTTGCCCCCCAAAATTGGCAATCAAGTATAGTTAGGATGGTGGTCGGCAAACATCAAAAGGATCTCATCCTCAAAATGATAGTGAATGTGGCAATTTGAGCCTTCTTAGGAGTCTGACCCTGACCATCACAGTTTCGTCTTCATGAGGAGTTGGAAACTAACATGGCAACTTAATTATACCAGCTTTGTATTAATACTAAATCAATACTTCTGTTGACAAAAACCAATTCATTTATTTTCTTTTATTATATAGAAGATCCTGCTTTCTGGAATTCTCAATTAAATATGTATGTATATATATATGTGTGTGTATATATATATATATGCATGCATATATTCATTTCATTTATTAATTCATTGAAGAGCAATTGGCTATAATGTTTAAGGCCCTGCGTTTGGTGCTGGGAAGACAGACACCAATAAGACATTATCTCTTCCTTTTAACCTAGTGGGAGAAGGTGACTGATTCAATATATCAAATTAAAATATAATGCAATAAATGCTATCAAAGGACAATATAATTAATAATTTGGTACCCAGTTTCCATGTCGCACTATAATTGTTGAAGCTCATACTGCATTATTCTGTCTGGAATTATTCTACATGGCCCCACAGTCTCTCTCCCCAGCCTCTCAAAGAAGGGACTGTGTAATGTTTTCATCTAAACCACAATGCCTAACACAGTGCCTGGCAAGTGTCTGGTGTTTTAATGAGGATTATGAAAGTTCTCTAAAAAATATAAAATGTGACACAAATACAAGTGGCTGTCATTGTTTAATCAATGGAGTTAAAAAGTGGAAAAACCCATTTAAAAATAACCCCATTAAAAGATAAAAGAGTGCCAACTCTTTCCTAAAACATAATAACAGTACTGAGAAGAAAGTACATATTATAGTATATTAATGTGTCCAGGCAAAATAAATTACCAAAGTTCACTGGAGACCTGATGGTCAGATTTTAAATAATCACTCCCTTTGAAACCTGAACTCATTCCCAGGGAAATTGTGAATTTTTCGTTATTCTAATAATTGTGTTATAATAAAAAATAGTTAAAGAAATCACCACATTCCAGCTTGCTTAATATTTCCATAGTGGAAATAAATGATAATACAGGTTTCACTGAAATTTTTCCATTTGGCGGGCTCAGCGGGCAAAGAGGTGTCAGCTGAGCTCTGTCAATGAGAAACCAATTTGGGTTAGACTGATATGAATATTAAACTACTGTAGTGTATCAGAATATGGCAAAGTGCCTTTAAATCTTAGCCCTGGTGATTTATTGAAAAGAAGGAAGTGACTTATTGGAAAGGAGGAAGTAAAGAAGAGGAGAGTATCGAGAGGAGTTAATGATGATGAAAGATGAAGAAACCATCATGAAACCAGCCAATTCCGTCCTTCAGTTTTTGCACCTGTGTTTTATTACATTTAAAGGGAAAGTGTAAAGGCTGGATTCATTTTATTTCACTTTTTCTCTTTTTTTTAGGTATAGGAAAAATATTAAGGGATCAGAGAAAGAGTGATGGTAAAATAGAAGTGTGAGTAAAAATAAAAGAATTGGCAAAGAAGAGCAAAAGAAAGACACAGAAACCCCAGAACTTAAAATAGGGGGAAGAGACATAAAAAAAATGGCCAGAAAGCAGACAAAAGTTGTCTGTTTGTGTAAAGTATGTTTGCCCCAAATTATAAAACAAATATCTTGAACAATGGTTTAATATTTTTTTCTTCTGCTGCTGCTACTTTAGGCTCAGCATCCTACTACTTGTTCCAAAATGTTAAATGTCAACCACCATTATCCTCTCCTTCTTACTGTACCCTTCAGTATTTTAACAGTTTTTCTGTAGGCAAGAATTTCAAGATGCGTGTATCTTGAAGTTTGGGGCAACTGAGTGTGATTATTTTTTTCCAGAACAATGGCAACCAATTCTCTGTGGTGAGACTATTATCATAAAATTGAGAGTGGCCCAAACTGTTGGAGCCCAAGCTGCCCTAAAACTTTACAAATGAGAAGGAAGTGGCTGTCTCGTAAGTATCACCTCTAACATTGGGATAAGTATATCTGTAGTTTACAGAGCTTTTCTAGGAAGAAAATAAGTTCATGTACATAAAGCATCAATAAGTGTTAGGCATGTAAAAAGAGCTCATAGTTGGGCTCTGAAAGAAGATTCAGTTTAAAACAAGGATTTATGCTTGAATGGTTTTAATAATTAAAGCATCAAAAACTTAAACTTTGTTTAATTTGGGGGAAATGTTTATTTTCGATATCGTCTTATTCTTTAAAGCCTTTGAGATGTCAGATCCACAAACGAAGCCACTCTAACACAGATGCTCAAAGAAGGGGCAGGAGGAACTTTCCTCTTAATGAAAATCTGGTCCAAGATGTCCTTTCTCAAAGGAAAACCTGTTGCCTCACTTTCTAGCATGATGACCTTATAATCTTTCCTCTCGAGAGGAGCTCTTCACCACGATACTTTGTGACACTCATGTAAACAGCACGGGCCGTGACGGCATCGCGCCAGCTTTCTCCTCTCATTCAGTTTTTCTCTTTCTGTTTTCCTACAAGGGACTAGACTGGAGATAGTGTAGGCAGATTCTTACACACCTCGCTGTCCTGCTAGAGCGGTGTTGTAAAAAGAAATTCACGATGGCAATTTCCTCAAAGGAAAGGGTCGAAAGTGTGCCAAGTAATTTAATTTTGAAAGTGATTTTAGCACAGGAAATCAGGGGGCGGTTTGTGGGTGACTTGGGGAAGGCTGAGGATTGTGATGAAGGGACAGATCCTACACCACTCCAGACGGAGCTAGTGGGGTCGACCCCTGCAAAGCGCAGCGTGTAAGCCCTTTGTAGAACAATATCTTACTTTCAGGCCTCCGACTGTCAGTCCTCTGCTCTGGTTAATATCATCAAGGGAATCCTTGCCTGACAGAATGTAATTTAGGATCTATTAAATATGATTACTTGGCCTTGAAAATGATGGATATTGGACAGAATTATAGAATCGCTTTACAAAAGAAAAGTCTCTTTTACATCCTTTCTTGTGGAGCCGAAAATGAAGCCTGGGGAAATCCCTCAGAGGGGTTGTGGCATTTATAGGTTAGGTTTATGAAAAAGGGAATTGGTATTCATATTAAAAACTGTAAAAATTGAGCAAGGTGGAGATAGTGAGCATGCAGACAGCTGTGACGTGTGTCTGAAGGGTGAGTGGCATGTTGCCCAGCTGATTTACTTGCTTTAATTATATTAGTAATGTGAAAGTCGACATGATCCGAAACAAGCTCTTTGGGTTTTTTTCATTCAAATACTAGCCCCCAGTGACTACTTTTTACGGTCCTCCCAATTTCCAATTACTTAACTGTTCATAGCTGAAATACTTCAGAGTTCATTGCTGGGTTTGCTTTAGAGGTGGCCTCTGCCTGAGTTTTTATTTAATTAAATTTTCTTCCTGATTATAAATGTAATGCATGGTCATTGAAAAAAATTGTAAAACATAAAAAATTGCAAAGGAGAAATTAAAATCACTAATAATTCTGCCACCTAGAATGGTAATTGCCATTAACATTTTATTGTATACCTCCAGGCTTTTCATATATGTGTATGTATATATATACACACACACACATACGTAGGTATATACATATATATACACACATACACACATAGCCGTGCTATTTTTATTACTTAGTTGGCATAATATAAATTAAGTAATATCAGAAAAGTATTAATAATATCAAAACAGTACATATGCTGCTTTGTAATTTTTTTACCTTAATACAGCATAAACATGTCCCATATTTAGTTAGATAAGATATAAGATAATTAAGTATTATCTTATAATGAAATATTTAGTAGTTATATACTGTTCATTGTATGCACATATCATCAATTTTTAAACTAATCTGCAATTGATGGGAACTTAGGAGACCTACTAACAATTTTTAGCTATTATCAGATAACTCTTTGTAAACATCCCTAGTTATTTCATAGGATATATTTCCAGAAGAATCCTTATGTTCAAAAATTTTCAAAATAATAAAACTTTCTACATGTAAATGACTTGCAAATTTCTCTTATGCAAATTCTACATTACAGGATTTCTTCACCATATCTTCTGTTTATCTTGCCAGGACCAGAAACAATGGAGGTAGCAGATGGAATTGAGATCACCACTATTACATTTCTGGTTGGCAGTGAATTTTGTGTTAGAGATAAGGTGGGAGCAGCATTCCAATTCTAAATTACCTTAAGATACAAGGCAGCGGGGAGGGGAGAATGGGAAGCTCCCGTTTTATTGTAGCATTTTGGTTTTGCAAAATGGAAAGATGGATGGTGGTGCTAGTTGCACTGCAGTATGAATGTGCTTAATACCACTGAATCGAACACCTAAAAATAGTTAAGATGGCAAAATTTATGTTACATACCACAAGAAAAAAAGAAAACAATAGAGCAAATAGAAAACGTCTCCACTACTTATGTTATGGAGGAGCACATTTGGAAAAAAGAAACAGGCTCTCCCTATTCCACGATGTTTTTGTGATGTTATGATAGATGAAGCCATAATCATAACTAATATTCATATTGTACTTTACAGTTTAAAGTGCTTTTGTGCACATAATTTCATCGGCATCCCAACCTTGTGAAATCGTTGATTATTTGAATTTTGTACATGAGAACTCTTAAGACTAAAGTCTCTCAAGGTGATTCAGCTGGCAAATGGAGTACTACGCAGCAACAAAAAGGATGGGTTATTTTGCAGGAATTTGGATGAAACTGGAGATCATTATCCTAAGTGAAGTATCTCGAGAATGGAAAAACAAATACCACAGGTACTCTTTAATAAACTGGAACTAACTGAGGGGCACACACATTCACAGAGGGAAGAAAAAGACATTGGTTCTACTTCAAGTTCTCCCCAAAAAAAAAAAAAAGACATTGGAAATCAAGCAGGATGGAGGGGGGAGGAAAGGATGAGCAAAAACCTACCTAACAGGTACAATGAACACTATTCAGGTAATGGGCACACTGATAGCCCTGACTCAAGCATTACAAAAGCTATCCATGTAACAAAAACATTTGTACCCCCTTAATATTTTGAAATAAAAAAATAAAAACAAAACAAAAGACAATTCCCCAACTCCTTGCCCAACCTGTGTCCTTTGAATGTAAAACCAAGTTGGCTGCAAGGCTCTTTTACTAGCAAAACCATCAAATGCTTTTACTTGAAAAATAAAATGCTTCACATAGAAACTGACAACAGTAAACATATTTAAATTGTGTTTATAGAAAATATTTAACTTAGAAAAACAACTTATTTTGGTAACAGTTTCAGATAAATAGTTTAATAAAATATTAATTTACTAAATTTAATAACAAATATTAAAATTACCAATGTTAATTACAAACAATGCCCCATTGCTTGCATTCTTATTGCTGTGTTTTTTTGCACTTTTCAGATATTGATTTAATTTTGTTTTAATTTCCGTCTATATTTATCATCCTAAAGTAGGAAACATGTGACATGATCAGTTACCAGTGCAGCCAGGCAAGGTTGTAGGGTGTGGAACTGAGAAGACTTCTAATAATTTAGAGTCGGCAGTCACCCTCTTCACAACCACTTATCCCATTAAGATACCAAGAAAAAAGTTACATATTTCTAGATTAAAATAAAAAATAGAATAAAAGTGGATTTTTTTAATGTAGATTTTTCCCTGTCCCTCAAATTTTCTTTGCCTAATTATTTTTGGATACAGGATCTGATCAAAGATTTTAAAAAGTTATTGCCTATTATTTCTATAATATTAAATATCATCTTGAGCTGCAATAGATGATTTCTCCAACTTCTCAAGATCTCTTAGAGTTTTGTCTTTGGGTGGTACTCAAATAATTTGATCTGACAGGCAGGTGGTTTTGGTAAACAGAAGTCTGGTCTGTGAGATTTCTTTTGCCTGTCAGCCCATTTATTTTTGGAATTACAGGCATTATAATCATCATGAACATTTGTTGTTCTCATATATAACCACATGCATTCAATACATATTATTATGGACCTGCTATGTGCCCAGTACTACAAAAATAAATAAGGCATTCTTCCAAGAAACTCCCATTGCATTAATAAAGAAGTTAACACATACACAATTAGAAGAAGGCAATGGGATGAGTACAATACTGGAAGTATATGCACATAACCTGGGGGCACAACATTTATTATTTTTGCCTCTGTGAGTAAGAAAAAGCTTCACAGGGTAAGGATCGTCTAAGTTGGGATTAAAAGGATGAAAATACTTCACAGGGAAAAAGATAGGAAGATTTATCCATATATATTACTTTGTCCCTTGCTTGAAGATTCCATATTTCTCTTCAATTAATAATATGGAGCCACACAATATCAGATGCTCAGACTATAACATTAAAAACCTTGTTGGATTTCATAGTCAGTTCATCATCCTTTCATAAAGTCTGCATTCTCTTTAAATTGACCAGACTGTCTGTCTTCTTCCACTGTACCTACCGTTGAGTGGATTGATACCATTGCACTGTTGATCAATAAACATTAAGCGTAATTATTAAGCTCCTTGATAAATTTACCACTGCATTGATGGTGTCAGGATGTTCAGCTCCATGAGAAGCCATTCTCATGGAACTATCCACCGGGACCCTGGGCCATCTTCTGCAAATCTGTTTGATTTGAAGCATTTATCTCCAACTCCATTAAACAAAATTCTGTTTTAACTACTGTATATTCCTTTCCAGTTAAGTTATACTACAGTAGAATTTTAAGGGGGAAGAGGGGGACCCGACTGCCTATTATCTGTGCTGGCCACTTCTCCTGTTAATTTTTTTAAATGGAATTTCTGGAATAGTAGTACCGTGTTTCCCCCAAAATAAGACCTACCCATAAAATAAGCCCTAGCAGGACTTCTAAGCATTTGCACAATATAAGCCCTACCCTGAAAGTAAGACCTAGGGATGGGCGTGGCTACGCAGTGTATCTGCACAACCCATGCATTTCGTCGCAGAGCAGTAAAGAAGACGAGCAGCCCTTCTCATCTGCCCCATGAGAGCTCTATTGCTCGACATGAGAGATTGGGGCCAATGGTTCTAAAGGAAATAGAGTCACAAGAAATTCAGGATGGAATTCAGGGTTTGGAGAGTTATGATGATGTTCCAGAAGAAGACGACTTAACTATATTTAAATAAATGTAGATTGTTGTACTATACTTAAAAAAAAATGACACATCCCCTGAAAATAAGCCCTAGGGTGTCTTCTTGAGGAAAAGTAAATATAAGACTCTGTCTTATTTTCAGGGAAACACGGTAGTAACTTTCTGAGATACTGTATCATCACCCTGTCTTAATCTCTGACTGGTATTGATGCAATATGGATCACTGAACAATGTAATCTCCATTGTATAGTTTATAGTAATGGCTTCTGGTCAACTAATATATGCCAGATTTATGCAGAAACCATACCCACTTTGAGGTTCCCACTCAACTATGTTGTGTGTTTTCTTTTAACCATTAAAGGAATTTTGAAAAAGAATTTGATATTTCTCTAGTTTCTTTTTTGATAGTCAAGCAGGTCATGAATGACCTATGATCTAGAATCCTGAATGGCATCTATGTAACTTTATTCTTTGCTAATATATATTTCAGGTTATACTAAGCTATGCTTGAATTTTCTAACATATATGAATAAAATAAAACATAGACCAATACTTACATGGTTCTTCTGTATAGCCTTACTCCTTTTCACAAAGTTTTATTCTGAATCTTCTCCATGCCATTAGGTTCCTTTAGCTTTGATGTGTCTGCCTAGCATGGGCTTTAAACAATGTCATTTTCCCTTGCTTTCACTTATCTTTCGCTTATCGAAGGCTTTGGACTTTTTCTAAGAAAAGGAAATTATGTGTTAACAGAGTAGTTAAAACATTCAATATTCACCCGTAAAAATGAGTTTTGCAGGACTTTCCAGCTCTAGGATTCTGTTTGTATAATGACATGGTGGAAACAACAGATTTCAGTTGTATGAATGCCCTCTGTATTGTGGCAGGGGAAAAACATCAAATTCATCCAGAATCAGATCAAATAGAACAGTCCAAAGTATTTTAATGGAGGTAAAAAAGTCAGTTACTTGAAGTGGGAATTATAATTTTCAGTGTTTAGACAGCATATATTGAAATGAATGTTTCTAAAAAATATTGATTAAAATATTTCCAAGGGCTTTTGAATTCCATCAGGTTTATTGTGTTTTTTGGACTTTTTTGCAATGTGGCTCATCACCAATGCTGCAGCGTCTGTGCAGTCCTGTGTAACCACACCACTGTACTGCAGAAACAGGAGGTTGCGACAACTAAGACACCAGTAATTCAGCTGTTAGAACACACAGAAGAAAACAAATTTTTCTGTCAATGAAAAAAATCTCTTTCCAATTTTTAGAGAATTTCTCTGCAGTTTATTCAGGAACAGATTAAGCACTTGGTCAATGCAAAGCCAAATCTATCAGTGAATTATTTTTTAAAAAAGAGAGGCTTTTTTTCTGTACCAAGGAAAATATGTCCATCTTCTTGAGATTAACATGTAGCCAAGTGGAGTTGCCTAGAGTGTTCTATTTGCAACACATACAGTAATGTTTTAACACTGCAGGGCTAATAACTAGCACAACTGCTTGAAGGAAATCTTGTTCTCTTCTTAAACAAATCTGAAGATGAACAATGAAAATATTAATTTCAAAAAGAAAAAAAAACTATTTATTGACATTAGGGTAATGATTGTCTTTTAGCCATAGCCTCTTCTGTACCTCTCAGTAAATGCCAAATTCCACTTCAGTAGCCTGTTCTTTTCAGACGTTTCTCTAATGTTGAACAGACTCATAATGAATCTCTTATCTAATAATAATAAGACCTGACTGTCGTTGGGCAATTGATATGTATCGTCCCAAACACATGCACATAGTATTAACCCTCAATACAACTCTATAAGGTAGGTATCGTTTGTAGCTCATTTTACAGATGAGTAGATTGAGGCACAAGGTGGCCAAGTGACAGCACAAGGTTACACAACCAATAAATAGCAGAGAGTATATTAAAAGCCAGATTGTCTGACAGATAACTGTCACTCAACAAGGAAGAAAAGCAAGAAGGAAATGAAAGAGCTTTTCTTCTGCCATATGAACACTATAGAGGAATTTTTTCTAAAAGATTATTTTAAAAAGCAGAAATGTACCAAAAAATTATATGTACCAAATTTGGGGGAGGGGATTCCCTCAGGTAGTCACGTTTATTACTAAGACTTGATTTGGAAGTCAACTTTTATAGCTCAGTTAAAAACTGCTAAACCCAAGCACTTATACAGTAGAAATGCTAACATGACCTTAATTCTAGAGGTGCAAAGGGTATAATTGTATTTAAGAACAATGCAGCTCACCCATTAAGTCATTAAATGGATTGTAATAATCTGACACTTTTGGTGAGTACTACATGAAAGTGGTTAACAATGGTATGCAAACAAAATGAGCTTGCACTATTAGCTACTGTATTTTAGGTTGTGTGTGCCAAATAAAACATTAAATTACAATACAGTCACTTAGAGAATGTTATGGCAATATATTTTAAATGTTCCCGAACATGATGCCAACGTAGAGAAAGGAGATGTTAGAATCTACAGGATAGTGCCAAGTGCTCATGTGTAATTCAGATAGCTTATATTTAGTTTTTATAATTAAATAAAATCAGAAACACATCCTTTTGACCCAAACTTCTGGAGTTGCCCAGGCAGTATGGAACGTCTGGTTAAAGTATATAGAAGGATGGCAATTAAATGTCAAAATTGGAACATTCCTCCACACAATTATATATTTGCATTGTTGAGAAAAACAACCAGATGTTTGGCATTATACAACCAAATGCAATGTAAATCCAAGCAAAATCATGAGTTGAACACACAGGCAGGGAATTTAATCAATGTAATTATCCACTCGGGCTCATTCTAGCTGAAACAAAATAAAACTAAGCCAAAAGTACCCTCTTCCTTTTCGATGGCAGAGCTGAAGATCTGGATTTTCTGTTTATATTGTCTCAATCCTTTACTGAATCTGACTGCTCTTACGACCAGTAATGAAGTGCACTAATCATTCCAGTGCACCAGAGAAGCCAGTGGTGCAAAACACATTGGCCTTCTGAACTCCAACAATTATTTTGGTGAGATCTTTTGTTTATTTCCCTATGAAAATGCTAATATAGCAAATAAGAGTTAATGAATAAATAAAAATGTATCGAGTGGATTTTCCAGTTAAGAATTGGGTACAATAATTGCAAATATATTCAAATGTTTATTTGAAGTTTATATGTAGGTAGCAGCCATGAATATGAATATGTGCATATATATTAAAAGATAATGCAGTGACCTAAAAATTGTAAATTTCAAAAGTCACTGCATAGTAAAATAGATTTTTAAGAAGTCAGAGGTTTAAATTGAAAGTAACTCAAGCCAGGCGTGGTGGCTTATGCCTATAATCTTAGCACTCTGGGAGGCTGAGGCAGGAGGACCACTTGAGGTCAGGAGTTTGAGACAAGCTTCAGCAAGAGCAAGACCCTGTCTCTACTAAAAATAGAAAGAAATTAGCTGGACAACTAAAAATAGAAAAAATTAGTTGGGCATGGTGGCACGTGCCTGTAGTCCCAGCTACTCGCGAGGCTGAGGCAGGAGGACCGCTTGTGCCCAAGAGTTTGAGCTTAGCTGTGAGCTAAGCTGATGCCACAGCACTCTAGCTTGGGCAACAGAGCGAGATTCTATTCTCAAAAAAAAAAGAAAGAAAAGAAAAAAAAATGACTCAATGCGTGTAGTAGATCAATGGCAAAAATGACTCCAATTTTTCCTCCTCCTTATCATGCATCTATATAGCTCTTCCCATGAAGATGTGGAATTTATTTGTTCCGCACATTTGTCCTTTGAATCAGGCTGTCTTGTAGCTTGCTTTGGTCACTAGAATGTGGTGGACATAATGGGGTGCCATTCACAGTCAAGGTCTCAAGAGGCGTTATATTCATTCGCTCACTTGTTCCTGTCCCTTTGCCACAAGAACAACTCTGGGCTAGCTGTTGAAAATGGAGACCACTTGAAAGAGAGCCAAGCTGTCCAGAGACATCCTAGTCCAGCCGGGCCCCAGCCAGCCCCCAGCTGACCCCCCAGCTGACCACAGCTGCGTAAGCACACCCAGCTGAGAACAGCTGAGCCGGGCACAGACCAGAGAACCCACCAGCTGACCTGTAGGCTTATGAGAGAAATAATAAATGGTTGTATTAAACCAACAAGCTTTGGGGTAGTTTCTTATACAGCAAGAGATTACAGATACTGTTAGTGTCAGACAATATTTTTATAGCAAAATAATGAAAATATCATGGTTTACTCAAAATATTAATGATCCTTGAATTTACATACATTTCATATTTTTGTAATGCACTGTCACAGACTTGGCCTGTAGGCAAGACAGACATGATTATCCTCATTTTAACCACTTCTGTATGGTGCTCACTGGCTGTGGGCAAGGTTCGCCCATTGGCTGTGGGCGAAACCTTGCCCACAGCCGGCACTCATAGTCCGCACCATAGTTTGTGCTGTGCACTGGCAACGAATCCTTTTGCTCTTGCATCATGAGGAAAACTTTAAAGCACTGAAAGTTTGTTTTACTTTACAGGCAGCTTTACTTGTAACGTAAATCAGAATAGGTAACATATACATATGTTTTTATTACGTTATTTTTAAATGTTCACAATTTTATTTTGGTAAGTAAAAAATTAGAAAAGTCAAGTTTTGTTATTAACGCCAAAGTCGATGCTCGGCTGTGCGCATTCACCTGTGGCTATTGACCATAGTCGACGCTCATACCGAAGTGGTTAAGGATGAGAAAATGTAAACACTAAAAATTAAATCACACACCCCGCTATTGTTGAGGAAAGGAGCAGGGGTAAGGATAGATTCAAAGAGTAAAATCCAGTTCTCATCTCTCAAAATCTGTATCAATTTCTAATTATCTTTATGATCTTAGCTGGCTTCATTGTGAATTGGACTAAACGATTAAAAATGTCACCATCCGGGTACCCACTGAGACAGCTAATAAGGCAAGTTCTATCCCCGCCATTAGGAAAACTAGAGTATCACTGCGTCCAATACATCCCCTAAAATAATAAAAGATAAAATCCCCCCAAAACCTATGCATAATTTAATATTAATTGCTATTGTTTTGTTATTGTTATTGTTTTTGTTGTCGACTGTCTTAGGCTTCCAAGGTGTTTACCTTTGTTGAGTAGGGGGGAAATTCACCTCTCTTACTTTGGTGTCAACCTTTGGACTACTTAATAAACCAATTAAATTAAAGATTCAGAACGTACAAATCTTTACACTGAGATAACCACTGAGCAATCAATGATAATTAAAAAAATCAATTGGTCTTCTGTAGTAATTAAATTTGTCCACTTAGATATAATTGATATTGTTCACAACTAATTATCCAAGTAAGGGCTCTGAGGGACTTTTAGAGACTAAAGGAATTGAGCCAAAGACTCTTTCTAATTTGAAATTGGACTGAATACCATGTTTTCTCAAAAACTGATTAAGTCTTCCCTAGAAACACATTATTGAACAAACTCAAATACAGCCAGGAAATCGGTATTTCATTAGAGACAGTTTAGCATCGTGCCTGGTACTCTCTGTGTGACCATAGGTGAGCCACTTAACCTCTGTGTTTCAGTTCTCTCATCCATAAACCAGAGATAATAACCGTAACTACCTCACAGAGTTGTTGTAAGCACTAGGTTAATATTAGTAAGGCATTTAGAACAGGGACCGCTGTGTAATAAACCCTGTGTTCATGTCATTATTATTAGTTGTCTCTTGGTACTATTTTTAGAAAGAATAAGATAGTCACCAATCACAAGTTGATTTCATTGTTTTATTCTCACTTGTACCTAATTCCTACAGGCATTTTGCATTCAAGGGTTTCTGCCACCCTTTCCCACATTATGAGATTCTATTGTTCTTGGGGGGAAAGATGGCTAAAATAGGGAAATGGGAAGTTCACATTTGCTGCGGGGCATATCTGGTTACAAGTTATTAAGCCAACACCCCCTTCCCTTTCATAAGCAATTCATTGCTAGCACCAGAGGGGAGGAGTAATAATAAAATAAAACACAAGATCATCTTCTCACTGATGCTTAGCATTTGTATATTCACTTAAAAATGTAGCAGAGCAATTTACTGCAGCCCTCAGGCAGCCTAAATGACATGTTAGCAAGTTATATGGATATGCTATTACCTATTATTCTGATATTCAATGCAAAAATGTCAGGGAGATCCCTACTTAAGTGTACTAAATTACTGACTCCTGGGGCTGAAAAGTACACCGAGAAGCTCTTAGCTATTGAACCCATCCCCGGATAAGAATCTATGGCCCGTATAGGTGCAAACCTTTCCAAATTCTAAAGAAAGCTATTAAACTATCTTCTACATTAAGCTCTTCACTCTTCCAGGAAATTCTTTTTAAGGTATTCGGGCTTCGGCTTAAGTACATGTACATTGGTTCTATCATTTGACAGAATGAAAACAGCTGGTGAGGCTTCTGCCCCATATAGCATTTCCTTGAATTCTCTCCCTTGTCCAGACCTGTATTTCCCAGTACTAATAGGATATTTATATCTGAATGTCATCCACTTATTCCATAACCTGTCTTCCCATATAAAATTAAATTAGGAATATTGTATGCCCTCTGACTCTGAAAATACAGGAATCATAACTTGAGCTTTGCAGTTCAGATATGCCTTCTCCAAACTTCTGAAATACCCATCAGTCAAATAAGGGTAAAGGAAAAAGAATTAATCTAAAGGTCAGACACTTCTCTATTGTTACCGCCACTGGTAGGTTAAGCTATCTAGCCAAGAATCAGAATTTGAACTGGAAGACCACCAACAGATAACAGAACCACAGTTCATGGCACATTGTAACTAAGTAAATATAGACTTAAAAATAAGTAAAAGTATGAATTAAATACATTTAAACACAAAATCTATTTCTTAATTAAGGAATTCTGGCATAAAACAATTGGAAACGACCTGATGTAAGAAACCAGATTTTGGGTTTTGGTGATATTAAGAAGGCATTAGGAAGAACTGTTTCAAACTGGCAGACTAAGCACAGTACTACCTCCATTTCTTCCCAATGTCACTAAAATTCATATTTATTAATATACATGTGCTTGAAAGTAAGAAGGGGGAGGTAGTATCTGTTCAGAGAGTTGAAGGAAATATTAGAGGAAAAAGGATGACACTAATGGAGAAAACAGAGTAGGAAAATCTACAGCCCAAATCACCAAAAGAAAAATCCTTAAGAAAAATCCTAAGCAAGAAAAACTTCCCTAGGAAGCTCTGGAGAAGGCCCAATTTGGAAACCAAAACTGAGTTTTGAGACACTAATCAAGGCCGTTAATTAAAAAATTTTATCTAGAACAACAGGGCAGGTTGGATCTCTCCTTGTCCTCCTTCCTCACTTCCATGACAGCAGAATATATAAAGTTGGCATCTAATTTCTGCCCCAAAAGAAACACACAAAACTTTCAAGATATCACTGTAGCTTTCAGAAAGTAGAAAGGTAATTCAGGCAACAAAAAATATTTTTCTGAAATTTTAATTAGGTGGTGGTAATGCAAGGACACACAAGTGACAAAACGTCACAGAGATACACTCACACAAATACATATATGAGTGCAAGTATATCTGGTGAAATCTGAATAATTTCTTTGGATTGTCCTGATGTCAGTTTCTTGATTTCAATATTATACTATAGTGTGTAAGATATTAACACTGGAGGGAGACTCATGGGAGGGTTCATTTCTTTGCAACCTTCTGTGAATCTCTAATGATTTCAAAATTAAAAGTTAAAAAAAATCTAATTGCTATGACCAGGGAGAGTTAAGAAATCATTGAATCTATTAAACAAGAACAAGCCCCTATGAAGAAAGAATAATTACAGAGCAATAACATAGAATGTCAGGAAATCAGAAATATGATTTTGAAATTTAATAATTCAACAAGTACTAAAAATAGCTAACACTCAAAATTAAAATAAATTGGACAGGAGTGAAATGACATTCTAAAAAATAAAATGGATGGTGCTAAAGATAAAGCTGGTAATCAGGAAGAAAAGTTTCTATTACATAAAGTAGAAAGCCAAAGAAATAGAAAATATGAGGCAAAATTGAGAGACAATGGGATAATGGGAAAGCACTCAGGAATTTCATCTTTTTGGTCAGAAATAATAAAGGGGGAATAATAGAAGGAAGAGGAGGAGAGGAAGAAGAGGAGAAGGTGAAATAAATTTCTCTAAGTTCAGAAAAATATGAGTTTTTAGGATAAAAAGACCTACTGAAATAACTGGTTAAGCATGAAGAAAAAAAATTTGATCCATTTTTCGCACAAAGATAAAATACAAATTGATCAGAGATTTAAAATGTAAAAAATAAAAACATACAAGCACTAGACGAAAATATGGATAAATACCTTTATAACCAAGGAGTAAAGAAAACTTTTCTTAAGTGCAATTCAAAATTCAAAAGTAGGAAAAGAAAACATAGAGAAATTTGATTACATACAAATTTAATGTGTTTGGGGTTTTTTTTGGTTTGGGCATAGCCAAAAAATATACCATAAGCAAATTAAAGGGCATATTGAGGGGGGGAACCCTACATCTTATATCACAAAGGGATAAAATTCCACAACTTATATTACACAGGGTTAAAATTCCTAGTATAAAGTGGTTTCCGTAGCCTGTAGTCCCAACTACTCAAGAGGCTGAGGTGGGAGGATCCTTTGAGCTCAAGAGTTCAAATCCAACCTGGGCAACATAGTTGTATCCATCTCTTAAAAAAAATTCCTAATATATAGAGAGCTTTTAAAAGTTTTTTGAGAGAATACAGACCCGCTATCATATTAAAAGAAAAAAAAAAGGATAAGTAATGAGCAGTCATTTCACAGGAAATAAAAGTAAATTGCTTTTAACTATATAAAAAGATATTTAACTTTATTCACTATAAAATAAATGCCAATTAAAGCTACAGTGTAATACCGTTTCTTACCTTTACTTTTGGCTAAAATCTAAATGTTTGACAACATATTTTAGAGAAGTTATGGGAAAACTCATATATTGGCTTGAATACAACAATGGAGAGTAATTTGGCAATATCTAGCAAAAACACATATTCATTTATACTTTGACTCAGCAATATCATTTCTCTGAATCTATCCCAAATATACA